CCCCCAGCCTCTTTGGAGCCCCCCTGCAGGAAGTTGAAGGCTGCTATCAAATCCCCCCTCACTCTTCTCTTCTGCAGACTAAACAGACCCACCTCCCTCAGCCTCTCCACTGGACCCTCTCCAATGCGTCCAAACCTTTTCTGTAGTGGGGGGCCCAGAACTGGACACAACACTCCAGATGTGGCCTCACCAGAGCCGAATAAAGGGGAATAATCACGTCTCTAGATCTGGCAGCAATGCTCCTCCTAATGCACCTTAATATGTCGTTAGCCCTCTTGGCTACAAGGGCCCCTGTTATCTCATATCCAGCTTCTCATCCACTGCAATCCCCAGGTCCTTTTCTGCCGAACTGCTACTTAGCCAGTCAGTCCCCAGCCTGTACCAATACTTGGGATTCTTCTGTCCCACGGGCAGGACTCTGCACTTCTCCTTGTTGAACCCATCAGATTTCTTGTGGCCCAATCCTCCAATTTGTTTAGGCCACTCTGGACCCTATCCCTGCCTTCCAACATATCTACCTCTCCCCCAGCTTAGTGCCATTTGCAAATTTGCTGAGGGTGCAATCCATCCCCTCATCTAGGTCATTGATAAAGATGCTGAACAAAACCAGCCCTAGAACTGATCCTTGGGGCACTCCCTCTTGAAACCGACCGCCAACCTGACACTGAGCTGTTGATCACTACCCGCTGGGCCCAACAGTCTAGCCAGCTTTCTGTCCACCTTACAGGCCATTTATCCAATCCAGACTTTCTTAACTCGCTGGCAAGAATATTGTGGGGGACCGTATCAAAAGCCTTGCTAAAGTCAAGGTCTATCACAGCCACTGAGTTCCCCATGTCCACAGAGCCAGGTACACATCAGTGAGGGTTGGGGGAGGTTTTTTTGCCTCTCACTTGTGTGGTCTCCAACCGATTTTTTTCTGTGGGTCAGTGGCTCCCGACACAAAAAAAGGTTCCTCATACTTGCCACAAAGAAAGAAAACACTGTAAACTTTTGTGTTGGACATAAGGTTTTACTTTATTTAAAATGAAGTTTGATAAACTAACATGAGAAAGGTAAAGTGCTTAATCTGTTTCCTACTTCAAATTAAACCAGTCTCCCAAGCTGCAGCACTAGCAAAATGGCTCAGGCGTAATTATGTAATTAATGGTGAGTTTTCATTAGCAACTGGTGGTCTGTGGAAAGGTTTACATTGGGCCAGGTGGTCCACAGGCCAAACAGTTTGAGAACCACTGGTCTAGAGCAGTGTTTCTTAAACTTTGAGACCATGGAACACCAGGTTTTTTTTAAATGCGGAACACCTATGAAAATTTTCTTTAAAAAAATTGCCAGACAAAAAGAGACAAAAACAAAGAAGAGGTCGCAGCACACCTGCAAGTTGCTCCCAGAACACAGCTTAAGAACCGCTGGTCTAGAGCATTGATTTTAATGCCTTTCAGAGAGGATGTCTCCACCAGCACAGATTCTATTGAGAACAGCCCAGAGAGCTTGACCTTTCTTGATACAATCTAAAAGTGTTGTCACAGCTATGCATCACACCCATGCTACAGCTGTGCTGGCAATTGCATCAGAGCTGCAGTTCTAAGCTAGAGGGGACTTCTCTCTCAAGTAGCCAATTAGCCCATCATAAAATGGGATTTTCAGGTCTCTCCTCCA